TTGTATTTAAAATCTTTCTTTGTGTTTGATTTTGAGCGTGCATCCAAATTCCCAGAGAGTTTGCAGTTTTTATTCCTGTTCCTAAACAGCTTTCCTTGTCATTTCTACTAAGCTTTGTACGCTTGGCTATTTAGGAGCTGCCGTCAGTGACATCATCAACCACCCCTACATATAAACCCACTTTGGCAAATTTTTTACAAAAATGCTGAAGATAGTTATTGGAGTTTTAGGTTCCTGGCTGTTTTTAGGCAAATATTTCCCTTAGTGACATTCCTGCTATATCAATATTTAAAAAATTGATTTCATTTAATCTTTCAGAGACAAAAGCTACAGTCTAAACCCAAAAATGTTTTTCATAAAAGCTACAAGTTTATTTCAAAAGTCAATCAACATAAGCTTTACAATTAGTACGTGTTGTTAGATGTACTAGAAAATAAAAATGATTTGAATTACTGTTTAAATGGCTTCCCTCGACTGAAACAGCATCTACTCCCCATCATATGGTAAATACACGATTTGTGACTCCTAAACTGACTATTTCCCCGTGCGAATAACTTATTCTATTCATTATTTTCACCCAAAGTGGAATTTTATTTATTATTTTCACCCAAAGTGGATGTGTTTTACTGTGTTCTTCCATTGTCAGGTCCTATGAAATTGCTGAGTGGTCTGACTAAAATCAGGAAAGTAAACAATGGAGAGCAACAGGTGTCACGTGATTTAGTGGGTCGACTCGTTTGGTGTTCCCACCTCATGCCGATCAGAGCCGAGGCGATTTTGACACTGGTCACTTGCCGACTCGTTTGAGCTGGGTAGACGCGTCGGTGAGCTGTTCCCACCGCCAGTAAAAGCAGTTGTTCCCGGGTTTAAACTGGCTTTTCCACCAATGGGTAAGGGGTATTATAGTCTCAATGCATTGTAGGATGTCTTCTATGTATACCTCCACCTGCTCCCAGAGAGCTGGACCTTGTTTTGACTCGGTGCTACTTTGAAAAAATAATCTCTAATGCATGGAAGACTTTCAGAAGCCCCCAGTAAAGGCTGAACGTCTCTGCTGTGAAAACTGACCTTAGTTAAAGGTCCATGTGGGTAATTGAGCAAATTTGCGCTGTTCCTGAAATTTGATCCAGGGTTCTTACAGAATGAAGGTAAAAACCAGAAATTGGCTCCTTGATGTTGGTTTTAGTTTTTGCATTCAGTGATTTTATTAAAGTAACTTGACCCACATTTGTCAATTTCAGTACTATAGCGCGAGTTCACTACTCATGTCATCTCAAGGCGCTTTACAGAGACGATTCAACCAGATCATGTTTCAAAGTTTTATCTAAATAAGGAAAACCAGCTGATTGCCTTGACTCTTCAGCAATCCCTCACACCAAGCATGCTTGTAGCAACAGTTGAGAGGAAAAACTCCCTTTGAACAGGAAGTCAAACTGCTTAATAATCTGTTAATTCACATCAACGGGCTTTTAACAGTTGTTTTTCACCACTTAAATATCCGTCTGATTCAGTCAAGAGTCGTCATTTTGCTCAAGTTTTCCATCTTTAACTGTGTGAAGTGGGTCAGTTATATGCATCGCTGTTTGTCTTTCTTCCAGGGAAAAACAGGAGAGGAGCGACAGCAGATGATAAAAGCTCTGAGGGAAGAGCTGCGTCTGGAAGAAGCTCGTCTCGTCCTGCTCAAGAAGCTGAGACAGAGCCAGATGCAGAAGGAGAATTTAGTGCAAAAGGTTGGAGTCTCTATTTGTTTACAAATATTGGACTTTTCTGGAGCTTTTTTTGGTTGAGATGGAAAAAACCTGCATCTCGAGCCCCTTATAGCAGCTCCAACATACCTCACTGCAAAGACCATGTAGAAATAAGTAAACATTTCTTAAATGTACCCTTAATCTGAAAAGGTAAATAAAATGAATAAGAATATTTACTCTTAGAATAAGATCATTAGATAAAATGCACTTGAAATGAGAAAATACAATTGTTTGTTCTTATTTTAAATGTAAATAGTCTTGCTCCATCGGCAAAGTGTCTCACTTACCACCTCAATTCCAGAACCAAAGCCTTTGTTGTGCTGGTTGATCTGATCAGTCACTGAAGCTTCCTCATGATCCAGAAGACTGGAGCATATTTCAAATGTCTCAGCTACTGGGAGCATTTCCCCAAGTCAAGGATAGGTGATGGATTAGCCTTTTCTGTTCATCTGGGTCGTTCTTTTTGCCTTTTTCTCCCTAAAACCACAAAGCCCTGTAGTTAGTTGATGTACGAAGCTATGCTATCTTTTCTTTGCATGGCTCTTATCACTTACCCCTGGATCTTTCACTTTGAGCCTCGTTAAAGAGACAAGTCATCAATGCTGCATCAGCGACTCTGTAGATGTTGAGTAATCCAGAAAAAACAAGGACTATTCATAATAAAAGTGTTACTATAGCATGACCAACGTTAAATCAGGCTTCCAGAGGAGCACAGTGGGGGGGGTTCCTCTCAGTCAGCATTTGCTCCCACTTCTTTGACTGATCCTCCCAAATGCGGGCCTTTAACCAGCCATCACACTGTAACAACGATCTAAAAATAAAAAATACATTTCCTACATTAAGTGTATTTATCCTTAATTTCAGTAGGTAAATGAGATAGTTTGCCAATGGAATGAGTATTTTTACTCTTAAAATAAGATAATTAGATAATAAGCAATTCTTATTTTAAATGTAAATGGCAAAATATCTTTTTAATCTCCTCAATCCAAGAACAAATGCACTTATTGTAAGGAAAAAAATTACTTACCCAGTATCTAGATTTAAAAAATTTTCCAGTGCAGCCCAAAGTACAGAAGAGACGCATCAGAGGACCTAAAGCCTCCGAAAGCCTGAAAAATTCCTCAGAAAGAAATTAGTCAGACTTTTATCCTTACTGAGTGAAGCAAAGGATTTAAAAATAAAAACAAACTGCTTTTTTCTTAAAATAAATTAAATTAATAATCGAGAGAATAAAGATACATGTGGCTAAGGCTGCAAATAACGATTATTTTGGAAATCGCTTAAGCTCTTAATTTTTTTTTATTTTTTTTTTTCTTCTATTAAGCAATTAATAATTGGATAACAAATGCTTCCTTAAAGAAGATTTTGTACGAAATTTATCCCGATGAATCTAAAACTTCCACTTGAGGAGTTTTGGATAGATTTTTGTTTATTTATTTTATTTTATCATCTTAAATGGACCAGCTCTTCATGGTTCACTGCAGACTAGGAAAAGCTGACATTAATGCCTTTGCTCTGAATAAATCCGTGGGATCAAACCTCATAACAAAGTTGTTATTTAGCTTGTAGCGATGAAGCGGTTCTGGAGGGGAAATATGTCGAGTGTCTGATTCTTTAGGAAGACAGAGAAACAGATTAACTCCAGTATGAATGTGACGTTCTGGCTGTTTGCAGGTTCCAGTGGTCCAGAGCTCTTCATCCTCTGCTCAGCCTGCTCCCCTACACGGCTCTGCAGGGTTAGGGAAGCTGCCTGTGAGGCCGGGCCTGCACAACAATGAGCCTCAGAATCTCAGAACTGCACAGGTATGGGATGGGGGGGGGGGTGTTTTATAAGAGTGGGAGGGAGTTGTGCCCAGTTTAAGGTATTAGGGTGAAACACCTTCAATAGATTGGTTTGTGGTGCTGAAAATGTTCATCGGTTTGTTTTAGCGGCAGTCTCATTGTTGACTAAAGGGAAAATTCTGAAACATTCAGGCAGCCATTTGTTGGAACCTTTTCCAATTTTTGAAATATTCCTGGAATCAAGATAATCTTCCTGTGGAGATGCAGCGAGCATCCCTGGTTGTTGATGAGCCTAGAAGGCAGATGCTGCCCTCTGCTGTCTGTTTTTGGGCGGAGGATGATGGCAATAATACAGCCTGGACCAGTTGCCTTCAATACCTGATAGCTGCTTTTCAAAAGTGTGACGTCACAGCGATTCTACTTTACAGCTGCCATGTTGAGGAGCGAACACGTTGCTTAGTGGCGCTACCCCTCTGACCACACTGGATAGTTCTCATTTAAACCCCTGAAGATCAGTTAATGGATGCGATTCATACGAGGTCCCTCAAGACTTTTTTTGAAAACGTTTCCTCACCTGACAGGCTTCCAGATCTTTCCTTTCAGCACCGGTAAATATATCCAGACGAAGTCCTCAACACTAGTACAGCAGTAAGCTTAAAAGATTTGACTCAGAGTCAAATACTCAACTACAAGGAAAGGTTACTCAGTCAAACATCTACTCAACTTGAAGTATTGAAGAAGTATTTAAAAGTGTTAAATACTCATAAATACAAATTTGAATTTAAAATCATCAGTATATTTCTCTCTAATGTTTAAAGTAATATTAATAAAACCTTGTAACGTTCAGAAACCAACTGATGAACCAATCCGTAAAACCACATGCTACACATTCTACACATTGATCTCTGTTTATTCGCTGGATTGCTGATCGGCCGCCAAATTTGAGGTCACCTGCCGCCTTCTTGGACTCCCCACTCTCACAGAGTTGCACCATTAAAATGCCTCTAATGTCATGTAATTACCATAACACTGTGATCAATACATGTTTATTACTTGTACCTCATCAATTTAGCACCTTTGGCATAACATATATTAATATCCAAGTACCGTATTATTATTATTATGCTCCATTAACACTCTTTTGTTGTGATGGATTTGTATAATAATGTTATATTACATGATTTATAGAATTCATACTGACTGCAATGTGACGTACCTATTTATTTATCATAAATTACAGTGGTCTACAGATGCTATGAAACAGCAACTGTGTGTCAAAGTAACGACTTCATCTTTATTTAAACAGTCTGACATTCCCCCTGAAAATGAGAAATTCAACGTTGTTCGATCATTTTTTCATTTTCAGGTAGTGCACATGTTGTTTACATTCCGCCCGGTCTTCTTAGGGAGTACCAACATGGCGGCTGGTGACTTCACAGCACCGTGTACTACCAACGGCCTATCAGCCATCCAGTGAATCAGTGATTCTACACCACTTCTAAAGAATTTCAGCATAAAACAGCACAATAAATAAGGACAGCTATATAGGATGATATTTCTTACGTAGTTAAAACCAAACCAAAAAAAAATGGTGAGTCTTGATACTCTTTACACTTTCACTGTGGAATAGAGGTTTACAGTTGAATCTATTACCACAAAGAAACTATGGCTGAATCCCAAACTGCTTCCTAACTATTAATACTTAACTATCAAGTGTTACTCGTAATAACGTCTAAATCACAGCTGTGGAATGGGCCTTGATTATATGGGGGGGTATGAATGAGAATGGGACAGCTTCTCCCCTCCAAAGGAAAAAGAAAACAGTCGTTGCTAAGGCAACACAGTGACTCCCCATGTGCGTAGCTGGATCTCTGTGGCGCAGGTTGACATAAAATATAACATTTGCCCTTTTCTTAAAACAAATTGGGCAATAAACTGGATTTTTATCGTTCCCATATTTCACTACAATAACCAGCACACATTTTCCCATGTTTATAAAATGTAAATAAGACTGTAAATAATTCTGCTTTTGCCAGTGTGCGCTGGTGGCTGGTACCTCCTTGGGTCTGTGTTGGTACCGTATATCCTCACATCCCTGATACCAAATATAGAAAAATCATACAAGTTCAGTTAAAAAAGCTTTAGGAACTTCCATCTGAGTCCATCTGAGTTTCTGTTTTTTGCAACTTAGTTTACATCCCCTAGCAATAAGAATGATGTGTTTTAATCGGATTTAAAACATTTTTTTCAGGGTCATACGGTCATTCGTTCAGCCAATACCAGCCTGCCTCCGATGCTCATGTCCCAGCGGGTCATAGCCCCCAATCCGTCCCAGTTGCAGGGCCAGAGGATCTCCTCCAAACCTGGGATGCCCCGATCCAGCTCATCCAGCATGGCCAACGCCGTAAACTATCAGCAGGTGACTACATTGATTCAAAATGGCAGCCTTTCTTTGCAGTTAACTTTACAGGTTCCTCCCAGAAATGCAGATGTCTTGGAAAAGTTCAATCATTCTGTGACTTAGAAGGTTAAACTTCTGTGAAGATTCTCAGTCATCCAGGCCATGGTCTGTGAAAGTTGACATTTCAGAGGAGGGCTAACTCCTCAGGACAGGACTCGGCTGCTCACCTACAACCGAAAGCTAAAGGACACGTCTGAGGACAACAACGTCCATATTCTGTCCAAAGAAGAAAGATGGTTTGAGCGAGGGGTTAAGAAGCCATCTTTTGTTAATCTGGAAAAACCATTACTGAACACACTGCAAAAAGGATCTAGAAATTAGTTTAAAAAAAATGTCTAGTGGAGGATTTTAGTGAAATTTTGAAGAAAAAAAGACATCCTTTAACTCACTTAAAAAAAAAAAAAAAGAATCCAGTACCCGCTCCCGAGAGGCAACGCCTATTAAACGCGTGAGAGAACGTGCACCAGCCCATTTCTCCTCGTGCACGCTCTGTTTCAAAAGTTTTACTTAGCATCCCTCATACAAGCTTACAAAGAAGATTTTTCCACTATGTCAGACTTTTGGCACCGGTAAGTGAAAATGGGGACGAGAACGTACACTGAAAAAAATGAAACACTGGCTCAATTTAAAAAAATTGAGATAATCGATCACAACTAATATTGTAGTTCCATGCAATATAAACAATCCATTTGATTTGACCTGAAATATTTTACTTCATGTAAACTAATTTCTGAAGGTTGAACCAAAGCAATTATTTCAGATTTTACTAAATCAAAATAAATACATTGGTTTTATTACTGAATGTAAATAATATACTTGGTTCAACCTGAATATTTTAAATTCATTTAAACAACTTTTGAATATGGGAGCAAACTATTTTTTTAAAGTTGTCTCAAATAAAAATTTAAAGTCATCATAATGTAATATTTATAGACCTGATTTTTTTTATTTACACTCAGAAGCCATTGCTTTTCCATACAAAATTTTATTGCTGAAGTAAGATTTTTTTCCACATCTCAACCATTCAAACAGCATTTAGGCATATTTTTTGTCTCACTTAACATTTAAACAGTGACCAAACAACAACCTCAGATAACAAGGTACAACGTTTTGGTTGTAGAAATGCAATTAAAATCAGGCCAGACAGTGGAACTCAACTTCTGTATGCCTACTCTTGCTGAGCTCATGAGACCAAGCTCAAGCTTCGCGGCTCCCACACACACGCATCATGGCGGCTAGCTTCCTCTCCAGAGCTCCGGTGACCCATAAAACCTCTACTCGGCCTCTCCAATGACAACGACGGCGAACCCCCTCCCTTCCAGCGCTAATGCTAGCAGAGCAGTTAATTGCCCACAAAAGCACAGACTTACACAAATCTTGTCTGGGGGCTAAGGTTTACGCCCAATCATCTTTAAAAATCCTAATGACTTACCTCAACGTTGCGCAAAATGCCTGATATTTTTCTCTTCAGCACGACGTCTGGTGGAGGCTGAGGCGGAAGTACAATTGCCGCCAGAACTTTTAAAGAATTTGCATGCGCAAAGTGCTCAATCTAATAAAAAGACTTTGCTTAAAATAAAAAAAAATCAGTTTGGTGCCTCGCTGTCAGTTTACATTATAGTAAAGTAAAAAAAATAGATTCAACCATAAATATAACTAAGAAAGTTTAGTTTAATTGAGCAAACTATTTTTTTTAACTCATTGGAATGAAAACAAACACATTAAATGAAAAACAGCTTTGTTTCACTTTTTTCAGTGTCGGACGGTCTGACGTAAACATATCAGCAGAATGATTGACAGTTAGGAGGACCACTTATCCACCTAGAAAAGAACATCCTCCACTATACCTTTAAGTGTAGTCACCACAGACATTACATACGTAGACGCCTCATTGGACGCCATCAGCAGCAAGGCTGACATGCCTAGACGGCGGCCATCTTGGGTCAGACAATCATTGACACAGCTGCTGGCAGAATGAATAGGAGACACCTTAGATCTCATTTTAATCACGAAAGACGAGTCTGAGATATTATTACTGTAATCTCTTATATCACACAACTACTAAAAAGACCAAAACATATTTTAAAATGACCTTTTAGTTAGATTACACATATTTATTCAGATTAAAAACTATTTAAACTGAACTCAAACTGGATGAGATATAAGCAGTTATATATTTAGCAATTTAATATTAAAATGATAAACACAAAGTTTT